CTTAATTATTACTAAATCATTCATGTTGTACAGAGGCTGTTCACACATTAGACGACTTTGGTAAGCGGTAATAGTGGTGTGGTGTATTTAATTATGGCAAAGCACACTAGGGCTATCTGCCTAAGGGGAGGGATGCCTTTCGTGGAGGACTTTCTAAGGGAAACTGGCTCGTATACACGTTACACATGGCGAAAACCACGAAAACGCCCATGCAGCCAGCCCGTTCGCGGGATTCGAACCTCGGACCGAACTACCAGTGTTCAGCGTCTTTACCGCTCGGCCGCTGGTGGGCCCGGTAAGCGGTAATAAAAAATCGTTTGCTGCAAAAGAAGTAATTGCAATTGTACTATGTTTTTAAAAGTCAAAATTATCGTCTGTGGCTTGAAAGTTTTGTTTTTATTCAAAATGGCGAATTTAACAAAGCAGTATTCGAAGGCTACATTTACGCTCCTTCCGAAGAGAAATATGCATACTCCGTTATCCAAAAACGATGTGAGAGTAATGACTCTGTGATATCTAAAGCGTCGATAGGTAATATCATCAATAAGAAGGGAAAAAAATGTCAAATTGGAGTCTCAAGTGGGACACAAATTCCAAACAAGTATCCAAGGAAAAAACAGGCATTACAAAGGTACGTTGTTTAATGTTAAAAGAAAATCCCCCTAGTCAAGGGGCAGTTGCAAAATCATTAAAATGCTCAGTATCCACTGTAAAAAAAATTATAAACTTTGATTTAAATCTTAAAAAAGCGAAAAACCGCAATGTGCATCATCTTCTTCCACAACATATCTCTCAACGCAGGACACGCTGCAGAATTCTATATGAGAAACACTTATCCAAAGAAAAATGGAAAACAATTGTCACAATAGATAAAGCATGGGTGTTTTTAAATGATTGTAACCAAAAAAAGAGCCATTTACTATCATAAAAGGGGAGAAAAAATTTAAGTACATGGTTCAAAGAATCGAAAGAAAGTTTTTCTAAAAGGATTCATGATTGTTGCTGGTTTTCTTATAAGGGCAGGTTAGAAATAAAGAGAGTGCAAAAAAATGTCAAGATTAACTCCAAATACTATCAGGAACATATTTTATCGCCAATTTTTCTGAATGAAATGTCATCGCTTTACCCGCAGTGCCATCCATCTGTGAGACCCCATCAGGACAAAGCTAGCAGTCACACATCAAAATCAACTGTAAATTTCCTAAAAGAAATGGAACAAAAACTGGTATCAAGGCCATACCCTTCACTGATATCCCTACTAAATCTCCCGATGTGTCACCTATGCATTTTTGTGCTTTCGGACTTTTAAAATCTGAATTATCAAACGTTGTCCCAAAACCCTAACAGGTCTCTGGAAAGCTGTTCGGGAGGAATGGGATAGAATAACTCTTCTGCCACTTCAAAAGGCATTATTATTCTGGAAATTGCGGTGTCAAAAGATAGTTCAGAATAAAGGTTGTCAAACAGAACATTTAAAACACAAGAATTTTATGTAATTTAGATTTGTGAATATAATATACATCATCTAAAAAATGTGTGAACAGCCTCTCTATGATTAATTATTTATAATCAATGCGCGTTCGTTTTCAGTAATACATTTCATAATTTGTTGAATTGCAAGCGCATGCTTTGCATTGTAGGATAAATCTTTCAATTGAATTTCTTGTTTCAAATCCTGGTAGAGGCTTTTCTGTAATGGTTGAAAGCAATTGAAACTGCTAAACGTGATACTTGGTATCTGCTACATGTACTGGTGTTCAGCACCTACATTTTACATTTCTTCTTAAGAATCTCTGAAAATAAGATGGAAGCTTTTCGTGAATTGTTGCTAATTGTACTAGCATAAAATTTGTTTTTATTCGTTTTAATGCCACTTGTGAGAAGCATTCATGAATAATCTTCCCATGTCTGCCTTATCTCATCTTCTTCGACATTTTACTAAAACTTGTTTAGAAATTTTAAATGGCTTAAAATAGCTTAAAAAATGGCTTAAAATGGCTTAAAATGGCGCATTCTTTTGTTATCTTATTGCGAGTCTGAGATAAGAAATATGGATATCAAACACATCTCTTGATGTGGCTTCCTTTAGTTGCTCCATCAACAGCTTCATTCCCTATTATTCCTGTATGTCCTCGTATCTAATTTAAGCTAACGGGACGAATATCAATTCAGTTCTTATTATTTCTTAATGAACTTGAATAAATTTTCAAGAACCAACCTTCAAGACCGCAACCTACAACTAAATTTTAATTAATCCTCGGGTTGCGTAGTGGTATTTAGATATTTGGTGGACTGGGAAAACCATCACTTTGCAGAGACATTACTAAAAATATAAAAGGTTTCGTAGAATATAATGCCTTCAAAACGCTCTGGCTATGTGTATGGATGCCCTGGTATTGTGACTTATTATACACTCATGTCCATAAATTAAGGATAATGCAAAATCAGGCAAAGGAAGAGTTAGAAGCAAAACAAATTTGACTTATTTGTAAAGCTTATTTATTAAATAAAAAGTAAAGAGCAAAAAAGATGCTATATGTTTGATATTATTAAAAAAAAATTACGATTTTTTCTCCCTAGAGCAAATTGCAAAAAACACCTATTTAGAAAAAACCAATATTACATGGTTGGTATGATTTTTAATATATTGTATGTCTCCCAGACGATGCAATACAGTCCGTACAACGCCTAAGCATGCTGAGTATCAAATTATCGATCTGATCTTGGGGGGGGGGATATTACATCATTCAAAAAGCAATGCTCTCCGAAGTTCCGGTAGACATGTAGGAGGAGGTTGACGGGCTGCAACTCGTCGGCCAAGCATGTCCCTCACGTTCTCTACTGGCTTCAAGTCCGGCCAGTCCATGCGGGTGATATCCTCCAACTGAAGGTATTCACTTACGATGTTTGCACGGTGAGGACGTGCGTTGTCATCCATAAACACAAATTGTGCGCCCATGGCGACCCGAAACAAACGTACATGTTGTTCCAGAATGACGTCCCGATAGATTTGACTTGTCAATCTATCGGGACCAATTCCAATTTGAACATTCAGGTCAGTTCTGGAACCCAGAATAATTCCACTCCAAACGAGCACTCCTGCACCACCATAACGGTGTCGTTCAATGATGTTTTCTTCGAGGTAACGGGTACCTGGAGCTCTCCATATGAAAGTCCGGCGAGAATCAGACTGTAAGCTAAATTTGGACTCGTCGGAAAACATTTCACAAGCCCACTGTTGCGGTGTCCACAATGCATGCTCTCTACTCCAGGCTAACCGCAGGCGACAGTGAGTTGCAATAAGTGGAACGCACTGGCAGGTCTACGAGCATATAGACCAATTTGCCCTAAGCGTCTGTACACGGTCTGCCTTGACATTGTCGTGCGAGTGGCTGAAGAGAGCTGACGAGGCAGGTCTGAGGCTGTGCTCCGCCTGTTTCTTTTGGCAGTAACTGCCAAATACCGGTCCTCATTCGGCGTTGTAACTCTGGGGCGACCTGTGCTGTAACGTCTACTCACATTACCATCATCTTGGAATCGTTGCCAAAGCCTGGAGATGACACTCTGGTCAATTCCAAGTTCGTCTGATACTTCCAGTTGGGTACGCCCACATTCCAGACGGCCGATAATTCTACCGTGTAAAAAATCATCCAAATGCGTCCTTTGTGTCATAACTATTCGGTTATTCCACTGAAATTCTTATAAAGCGCCTGCGAACAATTTACTACTTTGTCTGTATTCCTTATATATCACTCTCTTACACTCTCGTCATTGTGACGTACTATCGGTGTCATCTGGTTACTTCCTGAAATTTACATATGATTCTTGAAGATGTGTGTAGTGATTTCCCAGAGCTCAACACGCTCCCTTGACGATGCACTAATCACGATACACTAAGAGACTCCTTCAGTGAATTCGACGACGCACTCGGCATTCGCTGCCCGGCTGTCAACTCGATTGACTCCGCAGGGATTGACTCGCTAGACGAGACACCAACTCGATACTAGATAAATCGCACTCTAGACGAGGCACACACACTAACTGACTGCGGACCAGCAGGGTTTATATAGCTTTCGGCACATTCTGGGCTAAACCGGTAAGAATTCGTTCCAGAAGGTTCTCCATACGTCCATGGCAAATCGCCAATTTTGTCGCCAAATGTGACCAAACGGGCAATTTCTCGCCAAATGTGGCAACCCTGCTTTCCCTTGCCATTTTATGGCAACCCTAAACCTGCTTTGCGGGAAAGCTATCTTACCGCGCCTGTACATTTCGTAACACTATAATTTAATGTATAGTCCCTAGAAATTGATAACCAAAATTTTCATCAGAAGGTTAGAAGTGCTGTTTTTCTGCAAATAAAAATTCAACAGATTCAGATGCTAGTAGTAAATAGGGATATAAAGAATGAAGAAAATTTAAATATCATTCCAAGAATCTATTCCCTAATCTTAAGCTTCTAAACTGTTGAAACGATTTATAACGACTTTAAAAATTCATTACAAAATTATGACTGAAAAAATTGAACAGGGCAGAGAGCAACTGTAATCTGTCCGTCAACAACGGATACTCTTTCTAAATGTTTTTGAAACTATTGTTTAATTTAAATGTGTAATTTAACAAAAACATTACATCAAATGTCATTTAGAATATGTGGATGCAGCAGATTCAACTAAACGGAGATGTTGAATCCGAGTGCAATACCGGAAGGAAAACAGTTATCCAATCCCGGCTAAATGCATTGTTAACAAATCTCCTAAAGCTACTGTTAAAGACATCCTCATCCCGCGACTTGAATTGTAATTTATCTTCTTCTTTAATTAATAAAGAAGACTATTAATTACCATTCGCATTTATTTACAGCTACTTAGTTTAGATATGATTTTGTAATTGTCTAAACTAAAATATACATAAATTTTAATACCGAATTTATCAAAAAAAATTTGCCAAAAATCTTTAATGAGTTTTTTAATGCATGTTTATACTAACTTTCTTTTCAGTAAAACTTCATGGAAACTACTGGATTCTGTCAACAGATTATGATAACTATGCGTTAGTATGGTCTTGCAATCACATATGGCTTACCTTCCAGTACGCCCGTACAGGTATCTATCTACCTTTTCTATGCTCACATTTCATTTTGATGATTCTAGGAAACAAAAATCTAGAGCTTTCTTTTAAAACTAAACCTTAAATTTTCCTTCAAAATCTCTTAAATCCAAAGCTTGCGAATAGCGGTTAATAGTAATGGTGTAGATCCTTTTTGAATAAGAAAAAAAAGCGCATTCATTGAACAATCTTAATTCATAACAATATTTCTCATGACAAAAAAGGGGAAAATAAAAAAAGAATCACTCAAACCACACCATACCATACCCTCCCCCAAGGTAAATTCTTTACTCAGTTCTGGAATGAAAGAGTTACAAAGTGACAACACTGTCGCAGCCACCCTACAGCCCCGACTTGGCTCCAAGTGACTTTTTTCTCTTCTCCCGAATCAAGACAAGCCTAAAAGGGAAGCGATTCGACTCCATCGACGCCATCCAGCAGGTTTCGGACGAGAGACCTTGACAGCATGACGCCCGGGGCTTTCCAGAAGGGCTACGAACAGTGGAAGACGCCCTGGCAGCACTGTGCTGATGCTGAAGGATCATTTTTTGAAGAAATTTAGTCCGCTGTACTTAAATGTCCAATAAATTTCTAGTTCTGAGGTAAGTCTTGAAATTTTTGAATCACACCCTGTATGTTTCTGAGCCTTATTGGGAAACATTGCGAAAAATTACAAAAATTAAAATTTGCGATATGTAAAGTTAAGATGAAATGTTTTAAGCAAAGGACGCTACGCTTATTCTCTGAATATACACTAACAAATTCAAGGAATATACATAGAATAGTAGTATTTTTCTCTTGGGGAGAAAGAATGCTGTTCTATGTTTAAATGCAAGGCTCAAACAGCTGTTGGTGTCAAAGCCCAAGAGAAGTTAAATTTTTATAGTTATGAATTGTCAAATTACCATGTAAATTGCATCTATTGAGCCAAAATTTTAGAAAAAAAGGCAAAATTATGCAATTTATGCAAAACTTGGTTGTTATATAAGCTTACAAGGATCCTTTCCTCTATTTTAAATTTAAAATTTGTTACTACAAGAAAATTCTTAACTCATAGACAATGCCACTAGCAATCTGCGAAGCAAGTATAAGATAAAGTGTAAGAAAACGTAATGTTGATCGATTTTAGGAGTTCGATGATGAAGACACAATGTCAATCGATTTGTTAATGATTTTGATTTGTTAATCGTCGATTTCGATTCCTTGATCGCATTTTCGAACGATTTTTGTTGGCATTGTCGATCAATTTGCAATGTTGATCGCACAATGTTAAATGCAGAAACACAACGTTGAGTGATTTGTTGGTGGACTCTTCATTGAAATTGTATTGTAGATTTTATTTCCACAGAAGAAGTATTCTACGTAAATTCTGACCATATCATTTGCAATTCTACTAGGAAATATGAAAGTTTATTTTCGCATTCTGATGCAAAACTCAGCTGCACGAAGCGCAATCCATCATTTTGAATTCCAGGTTCAAGTTGAAATGCTCAAATCAGACTTCATATGGAATTTTGTATATGGATTTCTGTAATGTACTGAAAGCGTCTTCTACAGATGAAAAAGTCTTGAATTCGAGTTTGAGACTTAATATTTGAAATAGCTAACACCTGAAGTTCAAATGATTTGAACATCAAATGTTAACCAATAGCTAGAATTTGAAGTTCAATTTTCTATTTTAACTTGTCTTTTGTTCCTTGAATAAATTTATTGTTACTTTGATATGCAATATTAATTTCAAATAAGTCACCTATATTATCCAGAATTTGGTGTATCATATAAAGCTGTTCTGAGTTAGTGATCTAGGCTAAATACCATCAGTATTTTAAATTCAGTGTTCAAGGTGATTATTGCTTGTTCTTTGTCTAATACTTTATCATTATGTATATACGATTGCACTCATTGAGTTTATAATTTTTGCCTAGTTCCACTGTGTAAATTTATTTATACAATTCTTTATTACTTAGAGGGAGGTTAAAAAAAAGCAAAGATTTTTTCAACTTACTTTGCTGAATATCAGAAAAATGCTGTTTTCTCATATTACTAACTTGTATGTACTATACGAAAATCGTCTGAAAATTATACTTGCAGCCATTTTGAAGTGAAAATAAGGAATATATTTACGCCATTAGTTTTTTATAAGATTGGCAAAGAGTTTTCAAAATACTGAATAGCAGCAAAAGTTTAAAAATATATCAGAATTTACTATCGCTTAAAAAAGAAAAAAAATTTAACTATTTTATCATATACAGTTTATTTTACTTTCCTAAACTCTTCCGATTCTATGTCAGATGAAAAAAGTATATTTTCCACCTCTTCAACTACCGCCTCAGAATATAAAATGTTCAAAGACACTTCCTCGGAATATTAAATGACTTCCAGTCTACATGAGATAATCTTTAGTTTTGTCATTTTTTCCATTAATAAAATTTTATTAATAAATTTCTTGCTTATAATTTTCTGTTTGCTATAGTTACATATAATGTTGCCGTAAAAATTCAGAAGAGAGCTTTTGCATTCCATTATTCGATTATTTACTTTACATTATGTTCCTTACATTTCCGAATCCCTCCTCTTCGTTAAATAATCTATAACAGCTGGGAAGTTACAAGCTTCCTTTATTCTATTTGCTTCTAACTTCCAAGTTTTGCTTATACTATTAGTGTTAAGATTCTTCCACTGGAATCCTCACACTATATTTAAAACAGCATTTTATTTCTACACTAGCAGTTACGCTGCCAGCCTTCGTCTGGCTTTTAAATGTACCGGAAAAGTGCCTGAAGTGAACACCAAACGTTAAGTTTAAAACTACGCAGAATTTTACTCTGCAGAACAATTTCATAAAAAAAAACCTACAAATTTTTAAAAAATGTATTACATATAACAAAATTACAACAAAATAAGCAATATCTCTTAATAAAAATATTTAATTATCATAATAAATAATATAACCAACTTACCGTTGCCTTCTCTCAACAAACGTCCAGTATCCAAGAGAAACATTAAATTTAAAAACTGCACAAAATTATCGCCGCCATTTCTCCAAATGGCAACAGTGCCGATTTTCAACAGTCAGTAGTCCAGTATACAATTGAATGAAAAACTGTTGCAAAACCACATTTCTAAAAGAATGAAATTATTCAAAATGATGAAATAAAATTGAAAAAATAATATTTTTAGAAAAATCTGATTCGAATTTTGCAAAACTCGCTTCGAGGTGCACTGGCTCTTGTCTAGATGCACCTATATACCAAAAAGCTTCGCATTTTAAGTTCATAAAACTGTATAAAATAAGATGTGAAACTGAACTCTGTTTATTATTGTACTTTTCTGTAACAAAAGTACTAATTTGCCTTTGGAAATGGGCACTTTCTTTAAATTTTCATCTGATACAACTAGTTAGCTTCATTCAGCTTAGTCTGTTAGCGTGTTAAATTATCGATCTTCATCAGAGAGTGCAAAATCGGGTAAATACTGATGAATTCACCAACATTGTTTATATCAGGCCTCAGCAAACTATGACCCGCGGGTCACTGAGGGATCCACTTGACTTACGAAAATGAAGTTAATGTATTAAAAAAAAATTATAAAACATATCTACTAAACAAGAACTTAAAATATGCATAAAAAATAAACCGAAAATAAACAATAAACCATATCACTTTTGTGTTATAACGAAGTTGCAGTAATGAGAATGCGTTTTTAAAAGTTTTAACATAATTTCAAGGAGAAATCGATAAGTCTGGCAACGCCAATCTGTAATCCATAATTCCCCAAAATTAGCTTTGTTATTTTGCCCGCATTCTGCTGAACTTATTAATACGAGCAAATATTTTCGCCCATGAAATTTATGAAGTTACAACCGGAGCAGCTTAACAACCGGAAATACAGATGCTTGTGGGTATGTCTTAAGACGGCTAATTACAAGCCAGACTTGACTAAATTGACGTCACAAATTCAGCAGTGAGGAAGCTATCGATATCGAAGAAAAAAATAAAGTTCATTCAATTATGTTTGTCTTTATAATAATTAGAATTAGAATTTTTATGTTTAAAGTATTGCAATTATTTTTCTCAATAAAATTTATCTTATTATTCAACAAGAACAATGCTCTAAAATGAAAATACCCTTGACCTGAAACGTCTTTTTAATACACAGGTTTTGGATGATTTTGATCCTTAACCGAAAAATGTTTCCGACGCTGGTCTACATCGATAATCTTATATCTATAAGTTCAGTTTTCGATGCATCCTGTGATTTATTTGTCGAGGATTTATATTCACATTCAATCCCAATCTCAAATGTCACTTTATTGTGATATATCTTTTTGCCTTTAACATACCTTATTACCTGAGCATTTATCTTAAATATATGTATTGTAGCATGTGTACGGGCTTGTAATAGATTAGATGCACAAGTCCGATAATAGATAAATAAAATTTATCTTTATCCAAGGAAATATCTCCCAACTCTTAGAATTTTCCACAAAAATGTTTGTACAAGTGTTCACAGTATCACACAGTACAATCAGCAGTTACACTTCAAACAACTAAGAACGTTAAACACAACGCAATGCAGAGAGCATTTGAAGACGAAGCTAACTCGGATTTATCTCAGTTCACGCGGAACTACTACTCGCAACAACGATAACTAAACAAACCCCAGAACAGATGGTCTGTCTTCGACCGCCGAAAAGAGAGACCTTCTGCTCTGAGTTGCTTTCAACCAGCCGCCGAGAAATTTCTAGTACTTTTTGCTTCTCGAAATTACTGGAAAGCAATACGAGGGTTTACAACTAACAAAGTGGTAAATTACATTTATTTAATTTCAATACATATTGCAGTGATACAGGGACCGGACCCAAATGTCATCAAACGGGCTCCAAATTTGGCGACTTTTGACAATTTTTCGCCAAATTACCGAGATACCCATTTATACAGTGTTAAATGCACACGTTTCTATATTCTTACCTCTCCGGCATAGCTTTCTCTTAAAATTTGTCTTGCGTTGTATTACAAAGAAAAATATTGTACAACAGTTTTACTTTATAACTCTACTAAAATTACCTATCTGAGTAAAAAATTCGTAACAGTATGGTATTCTGTTCTTCAGATTTAGATTTTGTTTCTTTTAATTTATCCCAAAAATCAGTTTAGCTAGGAATCTGACGATGTCCACGGAGATAATGGAAAGGCTCAGTTAATTTTCTAGGTGTTAAAACGATTATTTCCATTTCTTTTTATTACAGTTCTTAAAACAACTACCCCAATAATTATTCCTATGATTTCAGATTCCTTAATTCATTTTTATGATTTCAGAAAATTTATGGATTCTTTCCCGAAAGAGGACTTTACCAGAAGAAACCATTAAAGAGCTACATGCACTTTTAGAGGAAAAGAAGGACATAAAAGCAAAAAAATTGCTAAGGAAAGTCAAACAGGAGAATTGCGAATGAAATTTCATTGCTTTAATAACATTCAAAATAAATTCCACTGAGGAAACTGAAGCAAAATGAATGAAATTTCATTGCCTTACTAACACTGAAACAATTCTCACTCTTTTGTATTAGCAATCAACAGTCTAATGTTCAATAAATAGCTTTCAACTCGTTTACTGCCCTTTTTGTCTTCTAAGAAAGTCTTAATAATGGATGATTTATTCACTTCCTCCTGTTGACAATAAAATCCATTGTGAAAGTAATGTGTCAATTTTAAAATCGTATAGAATCAAAAAGAAAGTTATTTCGCATTTGATAAATTTAAATTAAAATGTTGCATAATAAATAATGCTCTTGTTTATGTAAATGTGATTTGTGTTATATGTTTGTTCAGTTCTTTTCCAGAAGTTACAAAGAAATATCCGTGCCATATTTCAGAGGATAAGATGGTTAACTGAAAAATGGAAAATTCATCAGAAGACATGAAAAAATAACGCTAAAAATTTTATAATTATCTGAACATTTTCACCTGCACTTCATTTCTTTCCTTGAATTTCACTAGAGATATATTTCGCATTTAATCAATTTAGTTCTCATTTGGCGGCAAGACAAAAATATGTGAAAACTAGAAGCATCCTTAAAAATTGTAAAATACAGAAAAACCTCAAATAGAAAACACAGTTAAAAACAATTTTTATAATTAAAATTAAAGTTTCTACGCAAAACAAGCAATTCGTCCAACGGGCAGGAAGACCAGATTTTCAATGCAAAAATCTTCCGGTTTACTTTCAGTCCCACTGAGGAGAAAAACACTAAAGTTGGTGCACCAAATGAGCTTAATTCACTCTTCTATTAAGATTTTCAAATGTAAAGAAATGATGGCCTCTTCAGATCTAGTGCCACTTAAACTTTTACATTGTTCGTAATTCTACAACTTTCCCTTGCATATTAACTGAAAGCATAGAATCCTTAACCGGAACATAGGAACAATAAAATTCAATCATTTTTAAAGCAAAAAATGCATAATTTAGCAGCATAAAAGAATAAAAATACTGAGCTCACCCAGCCGGGTAACATAGACGACATAGCGGAGCCGATTACAACGAAAAAAGGGAGGTTCACAACTACGTGTTACAGCAGTCCCATATAATTGTTTCAAAATTTCAACGTTGTACGGCTACTCGATCCGAGTTATTCGAGATATATATATGTATCGTTAATACGTACATTACAAAAAATATCTTCTGAATCCATTTTACAATCCGTTTTGTAAAAAAAGGATCCTTTATTCCGTACATACGTACAGATGTCACGCGAAAAAAATCATTCATATGGATTTGACGGTGGTCAAAATAGATATTTTCGTTGAAATAAGATCCCCGAAAATTTTCGCGATTGTGATACTTCCTTTACTACGTGCAAGGAGGTAAAAATTCCTGCATTCGTTATGTTTATTACCATTTTAACAATTCCTTACACACTTTGATTAAGACTGCATTTAGAAAAAGCCAATGGCATTTCTTCCAAAAATTTCAACATGAATTCTAAAAATCTTCATATCACAAAACGGATTTTCTCACAAAACGGATTCTTTCAGTTACAATTACGAAAACATTTCGAAAATGTTTTCATAATTGTAATTGTAAATAAATAATTGTCAATGGAAGCTAACTGTACACAATAATTGCTTAATTTATCAATGCAGCATAATAAATCTACAAGATACATACAACATTTACAGCAGACATAAAATTGTGCTTTTTAGTAAACTCATCAGAAAATTAAAAAGCAAAGTGTAGTACAAAGCCCAATGATGAAAGGTAAATGAAAATAGAATTTCGTTCGTGAGATATTATTTGTCCATTGGAACGCTTACATGCAAGTCTAGCACTTGATCTAACCTAGCATATCACGTAACTTATGTTTTATAAGGTATTTACTCCCTCCTTTCCGCATGCCTTCGTATAGTAACTGGAAGCATACTCGACGCATATTTCAGGAGTCCGGAATCTAATAACTCTAGCGCTCGAACTGAAAGGTGGTGGATGACAATTCCTCACCACCAGAATTTGGACACTGGGTCCTACCATCCCCAGTTATCCTTTAAAAAGGGGTATTATATAAGGTATTTGCATCCTCCTTTTCGCATGCCTTCGTGGTGTAATGGGAAGCATATTTGACGCATATTCGAGAAGTCCAGAGTTCGAATCCCTGGAGGGCATTGCTCATTTTTCACGTCTCCTGCTCAAAGAAACCTAATGACTCTATAGTTTATTTCTTACAAGTACAGAATCTCACCTTCTAAAGAAGCATATACTAAGTCATGACTCGTATAGAGCTAACTGGAGAAGCATATACTAAGTCATGACTCGTATAGAGCTAAATAGAGAAGCATATACTAAGTCATGACTCGTATAGAGCTAAGTAGAGAAGCATATACTGTCTTTCTTCATGACTCGTATAGAGCTAACTAGAGAAGCATATACTAAGTTATGACTCGTATAGAGCTAACTAGAGAAGCATATACTAAGTCATGACTCATATAGAGCTAACTAGAGAAGCATATACTAAGTCATGACTCAAATAGAGCTAAGTAGAGAAGCATATACTGTCTTTCTTCATGACTCGTATAGAGCTAACTAGAGAATCATATACTAAGTCACGACTCGTATAGAGCTAACTAGAGAAGCATATACTAAGTCATGACTCGTATAGAGCTAACTAGAGAAGCATATACTAAGTCATGACTCGTATAGAGCTAAATGGAGAAGCATATACTAAGTCATGACTCGTGTAGAGCTAACTGGAGAATCATGTACTAAGTCATGACTCGTATAGAGCTAACTAGAGAAGCATATACAAAGTCATGACTCGTATAGAGCTAAGCGAATTATCTTTATGTCCAGTAAGATAACAGAGAACTTAAGAAGGGTGTAAGAGACATTTTTATATAAGAGCTCAAAAAGTTAACAAAAGGCACTTGTTGTGCTTACAAAACCATCCAGCATTTATCCAAAGGTTACGCAATGGTTAAAGCGCAAGTTGACTCAAACCTTTACCAGGATGAGAAGCACTATCGGCAGGAATGGAAGAAACGCCGAAGACAGACTGCTATCATGGAATTTCAACTAGAAACGTAACTTTCAGCAGGCGGAACATGCTCTGATTAAGCAATATAAAACCTTCCTTTAAATACCTCATTTGGATACCGCATATTGATAAGCGCGAACTAAATTTGCATTCTGGCAGTAAACGGAAAAGGAGAGTGACAGTAAAGATTGGGAACATAACTGGTTAGATAAAATAAATAATATCTTACACAAGTTTCTGTTTATCTTACACAAGTTCTCTTTCACAAGAATCTGCTGTAACCAAGATAAAACACTAATTGAGCTTAAGATTAAATTTAGAATATCATGTTCAATAACTGGATGCAGTTAGACAAGCTTTTGGAAGATATACACTTGAGACTTGTTATGACACTTGAAACGTGTTTATGACATTCCGTAATGTAAAATTCAATAGCTTCTTATAAAATTTGATCAGACCATATCAAATGTTTTATTTATCGCATAAAAGAATTCTCGAAATATGATTACTTTTGCAGAGTTTGTTTTCTTTGGTAGCATAATCTACCATCAAACTCCTCCTAACAGACTTGGAGCAAATTATCACTTCATCTGAACAGATTTACAGGGTCTTGGAAAGGTTTAAAATAACCCCTTTAGTGCATCAGAAATTTAACCCAAACGCTCGACTCCTGATTAACAAAACAACCACCTTTCGTGGCGATGAAACTTAAAATAACAATCAATTCAAATTTAAAACTAAGCCTAGAAGTCAATGACTACGCATTTGATTTAACGCGAAGTTTGCTCAAAACATCCCACCGGCTTAGCAATTTAAATGTCAGCAGCAATAACGCATAACCAAAGAATTACAATCTCCTCATAGCTTAGCGAAGCTTGCTACCTTGGCCTCAAGAGCCAGAAACACACTCTTTCTTACAGTCCAAAATCCTCGACTTAAATACATTTAAACTGATTTGCATGCTGGTGAGAAAAAGGAAAGAAGTGATAGTAAAGGTCTAAATCATAAAAAGTGGTTAATTAAAATAATAACACTAACCTAGTAATCTTACAATTTATATAAAAATCGTTTGAAAGTTTGAGTTTTGATTAAAGGTTTTTATTATTAAAAGTTATTCTATTGCTTCATACGCCCAGTTTATCATGCAAAAAACTAGCAGAGCTTCTACATATATTTAGTTTTGCATCCAATCCAGTACAGCAGCGTCCAACACCAAGCATTTCTCAGGAATGTCTAAACCAATCTGTCATTTAACCGTCTCATTACCAACCAGAGAAATACTTAAAGCCCTGTACACCAGAGACGACGGCGACGACGACCAAAGTACATTCTTTGAGAAAAGGGAAATTCCATCTCTAATTTGATAGACACTGATATTTCACCTTGAGTGACTTAGGAGGAAGACCTCAGTAAAATTTTATTAAGTAGGTTCAGATCTTTTGATACTTGCCGCTTGTGTATGTAGTTACCTGCCAAGTTTTTAACCTACTTACCAGACAGCCTGTTTGTCAAATTATATATTTCTCTGCTTACATCACCTACTTACATCAGCTTAATCGACAGTTTGTGGTAATCTTAACCCGTATATCATGAAAGCTTTTCTCATGGAATACGAGATACATCTGTTTCGTTTTATTTTTTTAATACTACAAATAAATTTCAGCAAAGCAGGTGAGGACGTCGATGTTGACTGAACGGCAGTTCCACATGAATTCATGTGACATATATCGCTTATTTTTAAACCAAATATAAATTGTTAAAAAATAAATTTTTGATTCCATAGCAATTTTAAGAATTTTTTCATAGTTAAGTTATATGGTTATGCTTTAGGTTAGAGAACTTCCTGTGTTAAAGGCGATAACAACAGAAGTAAAAGACAGAGAATTTGATTTTATTAAATAAAAACAACTGTATAAAATCAAATTAATTATATGAGTAACTACTTGAGAAATCGGTTGTTCTCTAACATACCTCATTTAGCCACCCAGAGGGAAAAGTGATTAGTGACACTTAAGCAGCATTCAGACGGTGCTATAAATATCATAGAGGGTGAGTTACAAGGCATAAAATACGGGAGTTTCATTCCCACCAGGGTATAAGCCGTAGCCAATTAGAGAAGCTGAATTTGCGCATGCGTGGATGTGTCTACAGTTTTACAGCTCTGTTTTC